AAACCTTATATTTTGAATATTTCTTGACATTTTCGACAGTTAAGTATCACAAGGCAAATGCTAGACCCCTAGATTGATTTTTGTAGAAATCATTAAAAGAACTGGGCTTCATGTCAAGTCTACTATTAAGTCTAAACCTTAGACTTAACAGTGGACTTGACATGAAACTCAGTACTTTACTTTAACTTAACTTACATTTGAGCTACTTAAACTAACTTAATAGCAAAACGTCAAACCAAATGGTAGTTGTACTCGCTGTTGACGTCTATTGTATTTGCCTTGTGTTAAGTATTATTCGAAGTTGTTACAGAAAATGATAACGTGTTTAGCTAAATTTTCGAAAAGTAATGAACGTCGATTGTCACGCAAAACATTCTTGTAATACATGGAAAATGAACGTTCGACATCGGTTGACGTAATTGGAGCAAAGACCATTGCAAATTTTATCATAAAAATTAAAGGGCTAGCATATCCGCTAGATATCGTTTTAGTCGGTTGATATTGAACCAAAAAAAAGTTCTCAGTGCTTTCAGCGCTTCAAACAAAACCGTTATGAATCTGACTTTTTTCAAAACAAAATAATCCAAAAATATTTTATAATAAAAAAAAATGTAGAAAAAAGTTGTAAATTTAATTTCTCAACACACAGTTTATAAAATAATATTTTATTTGCATCAATAAAACTTAGAAAAACTACAATTATTTCACTGCAAACGATTCCCACTTGAAATTTGAAACAACAACACACTTGTCACTTTTCAATATGGCGAATGGGTATTGTAACGGATTTTCGTTAGATTTTGGTGTTAGTTTCGAAGTTTCAAACTTCAAATGGGAATCGTTTGCAGTAGAATAATTGTTGTTTTTCTAAGTTTTATTGATGCAAATAATTTTTTTTTATAAACTGTGTGTTAAGAAATTGAATTTACAATTTTATCTAGGGGTTTCACGCAACTTAAAATTCATCTAAAATTTCAATATTTCTCTCTTTTCTCTCACATTCTCTGGGATTCACCAAAATCCGTATTATTTCGAAATATTTCAACATTCACCTTGAAAATTATGTTCTGGAAGTGGGTTTTGGTGGATCTTCAGGATGGATCAGACTGGGTTTGACAATGCCCTGGTCCATCCCGAGGATCCACTTCCAGAACCAGGAGCGGTTTTGAACAATCCTGAGAATCCACCAAAACCCACTTCCAGAATTTTTAGATTCAAAAAATTCTAAAAAATTCGAGTTTTTGAATAAAAAGAAGCAATATCTATAGTTTACACATAAAATGGTTTCATTTCCAGCTATTCAGTAAAATCGTCGGCCTTCGAGTTTGCGTGAAACCCCTAGAATTTTATTTTACCTTTTTATTATTCGAAGATGTTTTTTTATTAAAAAAAAAAGTCAGATTCATAACGGATTTGTTTGCGGCGATGGTAGCGATTAAAGCGGCATATGAACGCTACTAAAGCGGCCTTTTAAATTTTATGACAAATTTCATAGTTCATATTGCGAACGTATTTGAACGCGTCTATTTCAGTCTCCAAATGGGAAAGAAATTCAAAGTGCCAAATCGAGTCGTTCGAAGCAATTAGTTATTAGTGCGCGAGAACGTTATTTACATATTATTTGATGACTACACATTTGCAAATGCAAGCGATCGTTCGATCAGCTGATAAATAAAATGTGTAAACGTCTACACAGTAATGTATACACTGAATACTGTCGAAATAGCACATATTGCAGAATTGCAACTTTTGGTTTTGATCAACTATAAGTGAGACAATTCGATATAATTTCAAAGTCATGTAGAGACGTGCAAAGTGCATTTGCAATGTTTTGTCTTAAAATATGACTCATGTTCTATTGCAAAATTTATGTTACCTACATCTAAAATATTTATCATTGCTTGGAAAATACTCAAAAATATTTCTGAAAAGACGTCAAAAACCTTAAAATATTTACGAAAAACTCAAAAATTGGGAAATATTTATTTGTTTTCAAAAATGGCCAAAATTATTATTTAAATATTTTTTATTTAAATAAATATTTTCGGTTGCCCTGTTAATCAGGCTGCTGCCTTGACCATCAGAGTTCCAATATGTAAGTGTTGATATGGTTTGAGAACTCGCCGCATTTGCTTCAAATGTTGTGGATAAATTGACAGGTTTTTTCTAAATATTTTTTCTCATTTTAGAAGCCTATTTTTGATAAGAAATGAGAAATAGAATTCTGTTGACTTTATCAATCTTTTATGTAAGATAATGCCGGATTGCAGTCATCAGATGCCACTTCAAATAAGTCAACTGGTAAAGTGTTTACACCAAAGCAAATCTGTAACATACAATCAATCGTTAGAAATTGAATAGCTAGTTACCGACAACACTACTATTACTTTTAAATGAGGGTGCCGCTCTCGAACCCTAGGAAGCTTATTAAATATTTTGTTGTGCATCGTATCAAAATTGAAGTTGAACAATTGCGATGAATTCAAAGATCCTATGGAATATCATATTCAAATCAATGTTACAATATTTTCAACATTTCATTTCTATTACAAAATTCGAGGTTAAAAAACATCAAATTCACTGTCGAAAAAATGATTCGAAATATAAAATGAAGCAATTTACCTTTTCCAACTAAAACACATAGTAATTTTCAGTGAGAATGTAGATTTTTTTCGATCGAATAAACTTGGTTGGACAGACATCAATAAAGCTCATAAGAATCTAGCACAAAGTCGCATTCACTCTTCTATTTAAATAATTTCATATGAATTGAATAACGTGCATCGAGTGCCAATTGTGATTAATTGCATTTTCATGCGGCTAATTCAATTACTGCCTCATGATTAAATGGTACCACCACATTTTCGGCCCTTGCCACACGGCGGTTGAACCAAAATAAGCGAAGCGTCAAGTAATAAATGAGTTCAAAGATGCTCAGAACAGAAACACCCAAGAATAGTCCAAGTAATCCGCCACACACGGCCAAAAAATCAGTAGTAAAAGTGTACAACTCTTTCCTGTTCATTGATTTCACATTCAGACTTCTTAGACTTTTAAAACGAAGGATAGAAGCTGTGAGGCAAAATCTGAAAATAGTGGAATAAATCAGAATGTATTATGGCACATACTTCATGGCGAAGGACTCTTACTCCTCAGAGAACCGTTTGCTAATTTGCTTAAGAGTCTCGAGATCGATATCAGTTCTAGAGATAACTGCATCATATCCCACATACGTACACGATGGCAAACAATTGCACTTGTCATAAAATGCTTTGCCATTGCTGCTGGTAAATAGTTTCCTTTTTGCCAATTTGTAGCACTTTACACTTGCCCCACCGCAGATTTTTGTGTGTTTGTCTCCTGTGAATAGGAGAAAAGGGTTTTCTTATCCACATTCGGCAATTAAAAATTAAGAAGGTTCCATACTTGGGGACGAAAATTTCACGCATCCACATTCGATTCGCGTGAA